GTTAGAGGAATACAAGAAGAAAAATGGTGCTTTACTCAAAGCAACCAGAAGAGAAAAACCTGAACATACTCACCATGCTTAATATGATGTCTAGGCTAATGACCGGGACTTGGTCATTATACAGTGTTATGAGATGAAGCATCACGGTGTATGCATAAATGTACACATATCATTTAATATAATCATATAAATATCACTTTAGGTATGAGCAAACATTTAAATAAAGATTCTAAAAGGCAACAGAATCAGAAACATGCACTCATTTTACTGTCTCAAGTTTTATGGACTAACAATATTATGTATCAGTGAGAAGTCAGGAGGAAACAGATGTTAAAATCCCAGTATAGTTGTGAATTAGCATATTCCTATTAAATTAGGGATCCAGAGTCTCCCTAGAGAAATGTGTAAAGTCGGCCTGACTCTAGACTAGTTTAAGAGACGTTCGGACAGACTTCAGAAAGTTTCTCTTTTCTTTTCTGTTGTCATGGTACCAACCAAACTCCTCTGGATAGCTGTTTGTTTACTTGAATGAGTGAATAAATAAATCCGGTGGACAGCCAATCAGGAGACTGCCACTACTGGTCCAACATAGAGAGGGTGGTAGCCAGAGGGAAGGACAGACCCGACAGGATAGTCTGTGCCAGAACCTGACATGTGATTGGATATAGGGAAACTGAGTTTTAAAGTCTGAAATCTTGGCATCTTAAAAACAAGAAAGAGGCCATCATCATTAAGCAGATGATTTGAAATCTAAGAGGTGAGATGCTTGAAAAGCTTGGAAGGCAAGACATGGGGGTCAGACAGACTGTAGAACTAACTGGGAGTCAGAGATCAGCTAAGAGGGTGCTTTCACTAACAGACCATTAAAATGGCACTTTGCCTGCCCACCCCCACATGGCATGGGCAGGGCAGGAGACACCCGAGAGGCCCCGCCCACCCCCACATGGCATGGGCGGGGCAGAAGACACCCGAGAGGCCCCGCCCACCCCCACATGGTGTGGGCAAGGCAGAAGACACCCGAGAGGCCCCGCCCACCCCCACATGGCGTGGGCAGGGCAGAAGACACCCAAGAGGCCCCGCCCACCCCCACATGGCGTGAGTGGGCAGGGCAGGCACCACGATGATGAGCAAGTATGTGGTCGAGATGACAGAGAGAAGCAGGACAATTGTGTACCATGAAGGGGGAGGAGCTAGAGGTGCTAGGGTGAGGCACAGCCTGACGTGAGCAGTCTGCACTGCCACCCGCGGCCATGGTGATGTCCTGGCCCATTCTGGCCATGGCCCTGCAGTGTCAGGGGTCTGGGTCGATGTCCGTGGCCCATGTTACCACCAGAGGTCATGGGAACATCCCTGGTCTGGACTGTTGCCTGGGGCCATGTTAATGTCTGAGGGCTATGCAGAGCGGGCCCCGCCCTCGCCTGGGCAGCACAGGAGAGCTGGCCCTGGTGGCTGGAGTGCAGGAGAGATGGCCCAGAGGGCGTGAGCACTGGAGAGCTGGCCCCGCCCCTCACCTGGCCCCGAAGGGGTGAGAGCAGGTGAGCTGGTTCCACTGCTCACCTGGGCAGCACAGGAAAACTAGCCTCGGTGGTGGGGGTGTAGGAGAGTGGGAGGACTGACCGACTCAGCTACCAGCCAGGCCCGGATCCGGGGCTTTGAGTTGGCCCACTCCAACATCCACCCCATCGAAGAACCGCTAGAGCATGTGAAGGGACCGGTCCTGCAGGACCAAAGCTGCAGGGTCTCCACGACACAGGGCAACAACAGGAAATCTGACTCCAGGCCGGTGAGCATCCAGTACTGATGGTGTAGCGGAAGCCGGAGGCCTCGAACCAGACCAATGACTCATTGCAGTGAACATTTTCAAGTAAAGCTGTTTGGACAAAAGGTAGACTGGGTGACACACCATGACACACCACAGCTGCCATGGCGAGACTGCTCGTTTTCTTTTGGAGGGGCACTGCAAAGGTGGAGGGTGGCTATGGAGATATGGAGAGACAAGGAGGTGAATGGGATTGGAGTACATGGTGTGAAATTCACAAAGAATCAATACAAAGTTTAAAAAATATTACTTCATTGGGGGCTGGAGAGACAGCTCGGTGGTTATGAGCATTTACTGTTCAGTCATAATTATTGTAGTTCTGTTCCTAACACCCACGTCAGGTGGCTCACAAATACCTGTAACTCCAGCTCCAAGGGATCCAATACCCCCTCTCACCTCTGAGCGCACCTGCACACACGTGTGTACATATACTCACACCGACAAAGACCTGTGCATATACACACAAACAAATCAAATCTTTAAAATTATTTTCATTATACATGTGAGAAGACAGGAGCCGCAGGACTTCAGGAGACATGGTCCTAAGTAGAGCCAGCCGGAGCATCCGGGAGAAGATGAGAGGACAGGCAGTGAGGAGCAGGAGGGGAGTGCGGATCTGAGAGACACTCGGGATAGAGGTGTCCAAGCGCAGAAGAGATGGGTCTGGGCAAACAACGCAGAGAAAGAGAGAGGCAGACCACCATGGCCCTGGCCAGCGCTAACGACTAACCTCACTGGGTGCTGAGTGTGGCCAGGCACTGTCTTAACCGTGTTTGCACATGGTACACCGTCGTCTGAAGTCTCTGGGAGACAGAGCAGCCCTGTCTCACAGAGCAATGAAGGCAAAGGAGAGCAGGCGTTTGCTTCAGGTCACCCAGAAGTGAGGGGCTGAGGCAGGACGACCTGCTGCAAACTCAGGCCCAAAAGGATGTGTTTTTCCCTTTGGCGGCAAACACCAGGTATCACCAAGCCATTTTCTCACTCACGCTTTAGGTGTCACTAGGCACAGTCCTTGCTACCGTCCGGAAATTTCCCCGTGCATAGGGAAGCGGTGTGTACACAAAAGTCTTTCTGAGAGCGGGGAGACAGTTCAGTGTGCAAAGTCCCTGCCACGGAAGCAAGAAATTCTGAGTTCGGATCCCCAGCACCCACCGAAGCCAAGTGGGGCAATGTGTGTCTGTAAACCCAGTGCTGGGGATGGGGTGGAGACAGACGGACCCAGGACACACTGGCTGGCCAGCCTAGCCAAATAGCTAAGCTTCAGGTTCCGTGAGAGATGGGATCTCCAAAACTCATGTGCACAGTAACCACAGAAGGCACCTGGGGTTGACTTCTGGCCACACAGATGCGCGTGCACACGTACACACACACACACACACACACACACACACACTCAACAGAAAACATATAAACACCATACATACAAATACACACAAACATTTCATGAAGAAAATTTTTGTAAATAATTATTTTAAGCAATTAAATGCTTTTTTCTGTATAAATATTGGATTTTGTGCAATTTACAGCATATAGCAAACTGCTAAAGTTGTTTGGTTGCCATGTTGTAATGCTCTCTGCTAAGGACTCCTTCAGGACAAGGCCATTTGATCACATACTGATATGTGTTCCCATCAGGTTATGCAGTCTCTTTGACAATTTGTCAAAGTGAGCAGTTTCATATTTTAATTAAGCATGACACCCGTCAATTACGACCCCTTTTCCAGGCAGAATTATATGGCAGGCCTTGCTCCCAAGTTAAGAAATTTCTAGTCAGTTAAATTATAACTGTTGGGAGTGGGTGTTAAAATTCCTCAGGTTATTTTCCTCAAATACTGTGCTGAGGCAAACCCATCTATCATCTCCTGCTGGGGGAACTGAAGCTTTTCAAATCCCTCTCTCCCCATGTGTCTGCAGTACTGGGAAGCACTAACGGTCAGGTTTTAGACTGAGCTCTCCGGCTTTTCTCCCTGTCTGAATATCAATTCTCCAGCCACCCAGTTCCTCTGCTTCCTATGATTAAGCCTGGGCTTCACTGAGAGGCCCATGCCTGATCGCTGACTGACTAGTTGACTCAGGCAGGATTCACGGTTGTGGTTTCAGAGTCCTAGGATGGTCTGTGACTCGTTTTTCTCTCAGCTTCCATACAATGTCTCCCTACCCAAAGGAGCTGGCAGGCCCCAGACAACGGTGGAAGGCATGGGGAAGGGTTGGCTCTTCCCTGGAAAGGGAACCACTGCTGGAATGGAGAGCTGAACCGTGTCCACCAAAGGTGCGAGCATGCATTCTGGTTTAAACCCCAGTTCCAACAATGGGCTGATACCTGAAAATACGTCTTTGTCGACGCAATTAAGATGGAGCCATCCTAGAATTTGCTGGCTGTTAAGCCGGCCTGGCTGGCGTCCTTCTTACAAACTTACACAGAGTGAAATCCCTAGCACTGAATAGAAAGGAGAAAGCAGGCTGAGCTCTGGAAGCCCTGCTTCCTGGCTACCCATGCATGGGATCGGCCACTTCCGGAGCCTCCCGCCATGCCTCCCCCACATAATGGACTGTACTCCCGACTGAACCCCTTTCTGTTCTAACTCACTTCTGTCGGGGCGTTTTAACACAGCGTCAGGAACAAATAACTGCTACAGCCACCATTGCTCAGCTATTGTGCGCTGGACCACAGTGGTTCCCGAAGGTGGCCAACCCAGCCTGGTGCTCCGAGACCAATAAACCCTGCTTTGGAGGCCTGTGATGGTTACCTGGGTCAGCTTGACACCGTCTAGAATCACATGGGAAGCGAGTCACAAGGGACTGTCTAGACTAGGTTGAGACCCTTTCCAGATGACTCTACGTTATGCGGAGTTGACAATCAAAACCATCAAGACAGTGGGATCATGAGACACACACACACGGAGCACAATCCTACTGTGACAACATGTTGGGCTAAGTGGGGGGCAAGTCTGCTTCTAGCTTTGAGGGAATGGGTAGCCCCTTACCTGGGGCTCTGTGTGGCTCCCCTAATCTGGACGGACCAACCAATTCACCCACCAAAATCCATTCCTACCGGGAAGCCCCAGGCTGATGCCCTCACAGTGAGGAGGTAGGAAGTGAAGAGGGACCATGACCAGCATGTGCACAGATGTACCTGGCTGTCCCGTGACAGGATCTGACACACTAGTGTACCACAGCTCACCTGCACTGCCCGCTGTCCCTGTCACACTCAGAGATGGCCGCCTCCATGGTGCCCTTCCTGGAGCAGTTGCAGACTTCGCAGCCAGCCAGGGGGTGGAAGTTGAAGGAATTCATCTCGCAGACCTCACACTCGGGCCTGACTGTGCGGGGTGGGCAGAGACACTTCCCTGTCACCTCTTCACACAGGCGCCTGCCACAATTGCAAGCTGCCAAGGGATAAAGAGACGCTGTATAAGAGTTGGACTATACAAACCGCTGGGATTTCCAGGAGTTTCCAAGGAGTCTGGGGACATGTGTCCTTTTCCTTCTGTATGGGTGTTACTGTCCATGGTGATCTGAGCCAGTCACCAAGGGCTCCCAGGGGAGAACCGTGTGGGGCCCCCAAGTGAGAAGCAGCTGGACCAACCAGCTCTAGGTTCCGTACTCACGAACCTATCAGGCTGCTGGCCTCCCATTCTAACATGGCCTCCTGTTCAACAGAAGGCTCTAAAAGGCATCAAACCGTGAGTGTTTGAGACACTCTGAAGCAGCTTCGCAAAGCACCCAGGTCCAGGGCCCACGGTCAGCACATCATGCAGCAGTGACATTGCTTTGTTTATTCAGACAGAGTGGCCCCCTGTGGTGCTCTGTCTGCACACCTGTGGCTCTCACGCCACTTACAGCATGGGCTGAGCCAGAGCATCAGGCCACGGGTGATTCTTAAGTAAAAATACGAGGGCTTCTAAGTTAGTGGATAATATACCCATGAGACCTTGAATGTCCTGTCTAAACTGAGTTTTCATTGGGCCACACAACCTGAAAGGACTTTTGAGAGAGAGAGGACTGAGCTGTCCATGTGATGAGTATATACTCACATTTATATTTATAGCCCAGAGCCTTGCCACTCAGAGTATAGTCTGTAGACATGTGGCGTGAGATAGCCCGGATATTTATTAGGAATGCAGTTTTAGGCCCAGACTAGGTCTCTTGAATCAGGACTTCATCACAAGCCCCAAGGTGTGTGTCCAAAACAATGTCATCTGAGGAGTCCTGCCATGCATGGGTTTCATCCTCTGGGGACTAGAGAAGGCGTCAGAAGCCTGGCAGCGTCACTTACGCTTGCAGTGTGGGAATCCATAGTGACCTGCTGCACAGCGGGTGCACTGCCTTCCGATGATGTTGGGCCGACAGGGGCACTGCCCGCCCTCAGGACTGCAGTGACGGCTGGCAGCCCCAGCAGGGTGGCACTCACAAGGCAGGGCACCGTTATGGTAAAAGGCTACCAGGGACCTCGCAGAATCCTTACAGAATCCGGAGGCTGCCTGAGGACTGTGAAAACAAAAAATAAAATAACTCCTGGTGATAACCTGGGCTATGTGTTTATCCTCAACTTCCCTTTCCCACCAGTTATACCCAGCAGCATCTGAGGGGGGGGGGGGGGGGGGGGGGGGGGGGGGGGTAGTGTCGAGATGCCGAGCACTGGGAAGAAGTGGAAAATGACCCCAGTGTGGGTTCAGCCAGTGACAGCCACTCTGTCCCCAACATCTGCTCCAGGAGAAGGCATCACAGGAATGGCCAGTGGGAACATGGTGAAGCAGCTGCAGGATGAACTGTGTGGTATGTGAGTTAGAGCTTGTGGAAAGATAACGAAGGCTAGATGATGCGCTAAGAACCGTCAGCTACATCTCAGCCTTACAACCATCCAGCCAATTGGGTCATTTCACAGATAAGGTACCTTAGCTGTAGGGTGACGCTCCTGAGGATGAGAGGTATGGAGTAAATGAGATGTCATTTAAATCCACAGTGGTTTGGCTCTGGGGCCATAGCTTTTATTATCACTATACAAGAAGAGACCGTCTTCAGGGTCTCTGGAGCTCCTGCCTCCTTCTGGAAGCTTCTAAGGAGCACTGAGTTCCATAGCGGGGCATGTATTGAGACTGGTGTGCTCTTAGCACTCAGGAATGAGAAGACAGGGTACAGAGGGCACAGCTCTGGACAGTCCCCATCATAGCGCTGAGTGGGGCCTGGGCTATGACCCTGTCGGTGGGAGACACCCTGTGTGGTATCTTTTAGGACATACAGCAGTAAATGGGGATTAGCCAGGAACAAGGGATTCTCCTAATTGGTCCCTAATCATGAGTTGAGGGTAGACCTCTGCTGAGTTCAAGGCTGAGTGTGGTCACCTTGCCCAGATGGTACATGGCGAGGTCTCTCATAGAGTGGTGGGCACAGAGGTGACATCACCTTCCCGAGACTCCAGCCTCACTACTCTCTTGGGTGGTGAGAAGAAGCCAACTCCAAGCCAATCTCTCTCCAGACCTCACTTTGGCTGGGAATGAGAGCATGCCCCATGCACACCAGAGCCCTCCCACATAATAACACTTACTCAATATAAAAACTGTCTCCTCCACAGTTGCTGATAAACTCAAAGGACTTGTCCACTGATGTTTTGTGAAGTATTTGGTAGTCATAATTCTCTGCGGGTACCACTAGAACCCGGACCTAAAAGAAAGGCATCAACCCATGACTAAGGCCAGTGAAGGAGGAAGAGAATGACCCCACATCCTTTCCTGTTTATCCAAGTGCCAGTAAGATGGGATTTGGAAGGAACCACAGCAGGAAATCCAAGGTGGGGTGAAGGCTCAATGCAGTTGCTAGGAAACAGTGGGTACAAGCGGGGCTCTTGAACCACCTGCTCCAAGGAACGAGGGATAGCGGCACTGAGTGGTGGTTGGTTCAAGGTACCCTGTCGACTTGCATCCCTAGGGGAGCCTGTTGGGGTTGCCAGGGCAACCTGTGACGAATGCCTGGGACTCCCCGGTTTCCAGTGGGCATTGCTTTATAGTTCTAAAGGTGAGCAAACTGAAGTTGCAGAACCAACAGGGAACCCAAGTAGGCCTTCCTCTGAAGTTTATTTAGTACTTGTGGTTTAAATGAGAACGTCCTGCGCAGCTCTATTTAAACACTCCCTAGCTGGCAGCACTATCTGGGGAAGTTCAAGAGGTGTGGACTAATGGAGGATGAATGGAGATTCAGGAGGTGTGGCCTCGTGGAGGATGGATTGGGAGGATCAGGAGGTGTGGCCTTGTGGAGGATGGATGGGGAGGATCAGGAGGTGTGGCCTTGTGGAGGATGGATGGAGAGGATCAGGAGGTGTGGCCTCGTGGAGGATGGATGGGGAGGATCAGGAGGTGTGGCCTTGTGGAGGATGGATGGGGAGGATCAGGAGGTGTGGCCTTGTGGAGGATGGATGGAGATTCAGGAGGTGTGGCCTTGTGGAGGATGGATGGAGGTTCAGGAGGTGTGGCCTCGCGGAGGGTGGGCAGCACTGGAGGCGTGGCCTCGCGGAGGGTGGGCAGCACTGGAGGCGTGGCCTCGAGGAGGGTGGGCCGCACTGGAGGCGTGGCCTCACGGAGGGTGGGC